CCGCCGCTTCTCTTGGTTTCTACACGGGCTACTTGACCTACAGTTTCACCCTCGACCTGGACATCAATACAATGCGTTTTCTTGTGGATCAGTCCCGACATTTAAATAAGTGCGTCTGCACTTATTCCTACTTAATTTGCATTTTAATAAATAACTACTGACATATGTTCAGTAGGGTGAATTTCTGCCGTTTGCATTATTACTTTTTTGAACACTGTTAGTCTACTTCAGACTCTCCGTGCCCTTATCTGATGAAAATTTGACCAGTATCCCTGCTGAAGCTTCAAAAGGCCAGCAGCTCCCCCCTAATCTTCCTTGAACAGGTTTAACTGTTGCATAATTCTTGATGCGAGTGGCTAATAGGCAAAATTCAGGAAAAATCTAAATCGATAATTCAACATGAATAATCCGTTTGGAGAAGCCAGAGGCGTTCGTGTAATGGTTAGGGAGGAAGCTGGATACTCACAGGGAAGTTTTATGGGATTAGTTAATTAGAAATTCGCAGAGCCTGTTAACTCGACATTTCATCAGCTTTTTACTTTAAAAATTCCGTCCAGAGCACAGCCATATGGACTGGACCTCGTGAGGTTTTAAGTCCTTTTTAAATCTCATGATCATTAAAGTTGCTTTCAAGTAGATTCAATATGTAAATTACCAGAGCGAATTCTGTATTCTGATAGTCGTGGCTTTAGTATGCTGGATGAAAGCACGTTTCCTAGGCAGTCCTGCAGGCGCCGATTTCGTTTCACTACTTCTACTTTTAGTTCGTATCTAGCTAACCAGGGTTTCCTTTTTTACACTTAATAACAATAGCCCTGAGGAGTTTCCCGGAGCTTCCTCTCACTTGATAAACTTATTATTTTCTGCGTACTATTTACCTCTTTATTAAAGCCGCGTTGACAAGTACCGTCTCATTCTTCGTCTGGCCTGGGCCACGACCGAAATTTACATGCCCCGCGACAACTCCAGTGCCTCTCGCGTTCTGGCCTTGGAAGTGCTACCACGCTGCCTCTCGGTCCG